GATTTAAATCCTGTAAATCCAAAGGTGTAGCCAGCCAATGTACAGTATATATATAGTGCTTGTGCAAGCAGGAATTTCCATGTGTTTCTACTTACCTTGGCTATGCTGCCATTGCTCTGTTTATTTCTGATCTGAGTAAACTGACAGAAACTCTCTGGTTTTCATTTCTGAGTGCAACGGTCTAAGATATAGTATTTTAGATTTCCCAAATGGAGAATGGTGAATGCCTTATTTCTAATATAAAGTCACTCTTCTCTTAGAAATTGTTTTAGAATTCATTTTGATGTGAAGTTGTATTAACTTATACCACTCGTGGATATGAACTGCTGAGAGGTGATCCACAATTATAGTGCTTCTTCCATCACCTTTTCTCCCATGAGGTGTGTAATATATGTTGGCTATAGACGTGATTCAGTTCTTCTGAACTGTAAAATATATGCTAAGGAAATGAAAAAGAGTGGGCTTCCAGAAAATCTGTGCCCACCCTCCCCACAAAGGCAGAAAAGTCTATATTAGATTATTTTAATTGACAGTTAAGTACAGTTTCACTTTCATTCACAGGCTTGCACATTCTGAAATGAGGCACTGCTTAGGGGTTGTCACAGATGGTTTGTTTTGAATTTAAATGCTTTCTATTCTTTCCGAACATAGTTCTGAGAAGTGAGTGTCTCTAGGTACCGTACTCTTCTGTTGCATTTCTGTATGCCTGCCAAATGCTAAGAGGGGAAAGACATTTTATTTGCATTAAGCTTACTTCTCAATAAGTCAAATCTCTGAAGCAAAATAGTAAAGTAGGTGGCACATGGTGTCTGCTCACCTCCAGAGACTCAGAATTTCATAACATGCACGTTAAAAAAGAGAAGACTTCAATTATATTCAAATTACTCTGAATGTTGTGCATTACTGAGCCTGAAGCATTTGCAAAAGGAAAGCTTAAATAAGTAGTTATGTTTAAGATTTTTTTTCTTTTTTGACACTGCTGTTATTTTAAATGAAGTAGCATTGAGCAGATGTAATGAGAGATGTTATTTTTTCCTTTAGTTACTGCTTGATTAAAGTGTAGATTTTGTCTGGTTCCTTTTTATATCAAAAAAAAAAAATCCAAAATGAAAAGTTACAGATTGAAACCTCTACTTAAATGTATAAGTGAAATACTGGGTCTAGTCTGGGACTAAAGAGCTCTCCTGGTGTCTAGAATCATATAATTACATGTCAGTAAAAATGGTTCTGATGCACCTCTGGTCTTGAGAAGAAAAATGTCCTGACTCATTTCTTCAGTGATTCAGCCACCATGAGGCAGAGGGTGAAGGCAGGGTAAAGAATGACTGCTCTGAACTTGTTTTTAAATTCAATGACTATTCCCATTTCTGAGAAACTGAGTGTGTTTCAAAGTGTACCCATGAATGTTTAGTCTAGATAAAAGAGCCATCAGAACAATCCAGAAATAAATATGAAATGTTGTCCACGTCCAGGTGAATGATAGCACTTGATGGAACTAGGTTTTCACTCCAAACACGTGTTTCTGCCGATGCACTCTGGTTCCTGTGCTTGTGAGAAGGGAGTGGTGGTCCTTTGTTGCCTCCCAAGCAAGCTTTTAGTGCATCTGCAAAATGTGAATGATTTAAAAGAGAGATTGAAAAGTCAGACTGGAAAGAGCTGGTGCTCTATTCTGTTTCATTATGTCAGGAAATAATACTCTTGCATAGAGAGCATGTCTACAGTCAGGTGCCGAGTGTTGCATGTTATTTCTGCTCACACTCTATAACAATGTAAGAGTGACAACACTAGCTCAGACTAGACACATATCTAACTTGGGAGACACCAGAGAGCAGACACTCAGGGAGGAGCAAAGGACAGCGTGGAGATACATAAAGGCTTTCCTCCAGGACTCAACCAGCCTCTACCCATTCACTGCTCTAGGACTTTCTGGGACTCTGTTTGCATCTCTAGGAATCCAGGCTGGGATGACAAGAGATGGGGTTTTGTCCTGGGACCTGTCAGACCTGTTAGTGAATAATTGGTCTTCTGCTACTACACCTTGTCTCTCAGGTAAATGTATTACGGTAAGTGCAATCCCTACAAACAGAGCTACAAGGATTTCAGAGATGACTCTACCCCTACAACAAAATGTTTTGAACCCAAACAGACAAAAAAATGCCCAAACCTGCAGCGATTCAGAAGTATGACTGATGTTTGCACTCATCAGCCTTCCTGAATCTCTCATGACCTGTGAATGGGGCACAGGACAGTTTTATTTAGACATTGAAGGTAGAATGATGCACACTGAGACACAGCTCTTGAGGAGCTCTGTATATCCTCTCCAGTGTTCTCCTCTTTCAGTTGGAGCCGGATTTTTCTTTCATTTGTATTGATATATATCTGTGGTAACTGCTGATCCTGTCAGAAGGGTTGTTGTATACTGGTGTAGTTAAGATATAAGCTGTATAGGCCAAGTTTGAAAGAACCAGTGCTGTGGATGGATATGTTCAGTGTATCAGCAGACTTTTTCACCCACTCTAAATTATATCACACCTGACACACATCATTATGAAAATCATGTGCTTATAGCCATGGATGATGCGGTTTTCCCTGCACAGTCGAACCAGTTGGGTCAAACCTGCATGGATGGCGTTTCTCCAACTATCTGGATCAGACCGCAGTGCAATTAAAGGTGCTGTGAACAAGACCATTCCAAGAGATTTTCTGGAGGGTAAATGAGTTTATCCCATTGAAATTATGTGTCTACGAACTAGAGGAGAGCTTGGACATGGCAAATAGCAGAAGGTCTCTGGAGCTGATGGCCACTCCACTAAGGAGCTCCTGCAGCTACAAATTTTTAAGCTACTGAATGCAGAGCAGGAGTTGCTCCACGTCCTGCTGTGCAGCTGGGTACTGAATGCTGTTGCTCCAGCTCTGCGTTAAGGACTCATGGGATGTGGTGTGCCAGCTCCGGACCAGTTTGGTTTGTCATGGCCACAAACAGTCATGCCCTCTATCTCTCTCCCTTATACAAATCCAGTATTCTTTCTTTACACAAGAAATGAAGTATTCCCTTTCACCTTCTTGCTTTTTCAATATTTCAAGAAATAAGTGGGTTTGATTTATTGGTCCAAGAATTGAAATTGACAGCAAGTGAAATATTGCCACAGGAAAAATGAATCTTTGAAAATATTGTTGCAGGTTGGGGAGGGGCTGGTGGCAAATCAGCCTAGTGGAGATTAGTTTTTTGACTAAGCACTGTAATTTTACTTTTGTAAGCTTCTTATCTGCTCAAAGGCAAATGACATGCAAAAGGACTGATTGGTTTTTGAAGTAAAATCAGAAGTTGTTTGGGATTTTTATGTTAACCAGGTAACAGAGAAATACCTACTGAATGAATTATAGCGTTGTGACTGATATTGAGCATTGTGGCTAATATTGAATACTAATAATGCATTACTAAATTACTATAGAGACAAAATTTTAATCCTCCTTGAAATGAAAGAATAAATTACTTGGAGTCAATTTCTTTTTTTTGTTTCTTTTCTTGTTTGTTTGTTTGTTTCTTAAGTAGTATCATGAACCGGTCATAGGAAAACTGTTCTAATTACAGAGCTAGTCTCTGTTTTCTCTTGCCTGAAAAAAACTTTTAATACATTAGAATCAGCTTTCACCAAATTAAGATAAAACAATAATGCCCCTAGCAACAATGAATTGGATTTTTGATTATCATCAGACTGGAAGATAAACTACCATTGAAAACAATCCTCCATGGAAACAAATTTAAACAAAGCACTTTCTGAATAAGTTACATCTGTTTCCGTATTTATATCTGTATATTTGTTTTAATAATATCTATTTTTTGTATTTTTATCATATTTGTATTTATTGTTTGTATCTCTGTCTCTTCACAAAAGCAGTTACAGATGAATTATTAAGATCATTTTCCCCCTTTGCATTCCTTCATCTTAGTTAGCTAGGGCAATTTTTCACTGAAATCCTGCTGGATGAGGCACCCACTATACAGAGTTCTTGTTTCATAGGTATTACCTGGGGAAAAGGACATCATGATGTGTATTTTATATATGACTAATTTAAGAGAAAAAACACATTACAAAAATTTCATCATTAAGCCCAAACCAAACTTCATAAATCTGAGGTAATCACTTAAAGGAAGATAGGCACAGTTCAGACATTCAGATAACACCTCTGCTCGGTACTGAATATGATAAAAGATTAAGTCTCAGTAGCATCTAATTAGAAATTTAAAGAAGGATATTTT